CTTATCTTTCCGCAAACAATCTTGTAAAATCTGTATTGATCTTCTTTATCAATATATATTTTAAATTTGAAAATTGTGTTTGTATTCATCCCCCCCCCTTCTACAAACTGTTTAGTATTCTTGTAGACCCTTTTGGGACCAACAACCCAGTTACTGAATGTCTAGAAGAGAGACACTTATCCCAATCGGCATCGACAAAGGCAGTTAAAGAAAACTTTTTTGACCTAGTAAAGCTAACACCTTTACGTGGAGACAACTTCAAATACCTAAGAACTCTAAAAGCAAGACTTAAGTGAGACTGTTTAGGTGAATGCATAAATTGACTCAAACAGTGAACAAGAAAAACAATATCTGGTCTAGTAGCAAGAAGATAGAGAAATTTACCAATCAGTTTTTGATAACCAGTACAATCAGACAAAGGAGAATCACTATTACTACTAGAGTCAGTTACAACTAAATTCCTATCCATTGGAGTATTACAAGATTTGCATCCTAAATATCCAAATTCATTTAGCAATTCTAAACAATATTTTGCTTGAGTCATACAGATTCCATTCACACAGTCTAAAATTTCAATTCCTAGAAAGAATTTCAACTTTCCCAAATCTTTTATAAGAAATTTACTTTTTAAGAAAACCTTAACCTTATCAACTTCAAACTGATCATTTCCAGTAATAACAATGTCATCAACATATACTAACAGGACAAGGAAAACAAATTCAACTCTCTTTGTAAACAAGGAATAATCATTAATACTTTGGACAAAGCCGTGTTCAATTAGACAAGAAGAAAGTTTAGCATACCACTGACGTGGAGCTTGCTTTAAATCATATAAGGATTTAACAAGTTTACAAACACGTTTATCATTGGATTTATAGTAACCTTCAGGTAAGCTCATGTAAACTTCTTCAATTAAATCTCCATACAAAAAAGCATTATTAACATCTAATTAAAACAAATTCCACTTATTTTGAACAACTAAAGATATAATGCAACGAACAGTCACCATTTTTACAACAGGAGAGAAGGTTTCATCATAGACAAGACCTTCTCTCTGACTATACCCTTTAGCTACAAGCCTAGCCTTGTATCTTTCTATTTCCCTAGTAGATTTACACTTTATTTTATAGATCCATTTACAACCTATAGGTTTTCTACTTGAGGCAAGTCTATTATAACCCATGTACCATTTCTATGTAAAGCTTCCATTTCATCATTCAGAGCATGTATCCAATTAATATCAGTACAAGCTTCTCAAAAAAATTTAGGTTCAACAAACTTGTTTAGATTAGACAAGAAAAATAGGTTTTCAGACGAAAGACAAGAATAATTAACGACCTTTTCCAAATTGTATTTAACTTTTCCTTCAATTACAAACTCATCAAATTTTTGTGGAAACACATAGACTATAGTAGACCTTCTAATAGGTTGAATAGAAGCAGAAGGTAAACTGAGAGTGCCCTCAGGAAGGAGACTTTCATCAGTTTGTAGGGTACTAGCAGCCTCATTTGGGCTGCTTACGAGTTTCCATCTGGTAACTCTTTCAAGATTATCTTCAACTTGGATTGAAGATCCTTGATTAGCAAATTCATTTGAGCTGTCTAGAGGCTCCTCATTGATAGCTCTGGTTTGGCTACCTAGTAACCTACTACTATTAGGGATAAAATCAGGATTATTACTGCTTTTACCAACAGAATTGTCTCTATTATCATCACTGGGTGGTGAATCCACAAACTCATTAGATGAACTATTCATAAAATCAAAGAAATGTAATCTGTTCACATCATCATTACAGGTATCACCACCCCTGTTCATAGTCATCTTAAATGGAAAAGTATTTTCATAAAACTTGACATCACAAGAAACGAGACACACTTCTTAGATTCAAAACTAAAAAGTTTGTATCCTTTCTTTGAGCTCGCATACCCTAATAAAACACATTTTTTAGATTTGGGAGAAAATTTACTTGTAACGTTGGGTATGACAGCAAAGCAAAGGTACGCAAAATTCCTAAGATGAGTAAGAACAGGTTGGAATCCGTAAACAAGCTCATAAAAACACTTACCATTTAACACAGAAGAAGGAGTCCTATTTATTAAGAAGGTGGAAGTAAGAATGCATTCACTCCACATGTTTAAGGGAACCCTCCCTGAAACATAAGAGCCCTAGCAACTAGGGATGGTGATTTGCCCCGACCCGGTGGGGAACCCGGTCACCCGATCCGAACGGGGATTCCCCACTAAAATGGGTCCCGGGGTCAGGGATCCCCGGTAGACTCAAACCGGGGATAGGGCCAGGGACGGGGGATGTTACTCAAACAGAAGCCGGGGTTGGGGACGGGGATTCCCGGTGGAATCAAACTAAAGGATACTATTTATGGGTTTTGACCGGGGATTGCTAGAGATTTGACCTGGGACCGAGGCCGGGTGATGTTACTACAAACCGGGGCCGGGGATTACAAAACTCGCCCCATCCCCGCCCCGTTGCCATGCCTACTAGCAACATTAAGTAAATGACGATGTTTCTTTTGAACAACACTGTTCTGTTGGGGAGTATAGACACAAGAGGTCTGATGTATAACACCTTTAGTTTTAAAGAATTCACTTAAGTTTTGACTCAAAAACTCAGATCCATTATTACTCCTAAACTTTTTAACATTCTTTCCAAATTGATTACTAAGCAAATTATAAAAGGTGATAATATATTCTCCAACCTCATTTTTACCTTTTAATAGGAAAACCCAAACAACTCGAGTAAAATCATTGACTATAGTAAGAAAATATTTATAACCTTCCCTACTTTGAACACGATAAGGTCCCCAAACATCTACGTGAACAAGTTCACCTAGATCTTTGGACCTATGAACACTAGCCTCAAACTTCTCCCGAGTCTGCTTTGCCTTATGGCAAATTTCACAAGGGCCACAATTTTCATACTCAATCTTAAGAGAATTCTTTAAGACCTTTAAGACTTGGTTAGTAGGATGACCAAGTCGAGTGTGCCAAAATTGGGCATAAGCTAAACAAGACATATTAGTGTTTTGAAAGGTATGAAAATCACAATTAGACTCACAGTTAAAATTCTAATCAAAGTAATACAAACCCCCTTCTTGACTACCAGTCCCCACTATATTCTTTTATAGCGAATCCTGGACATACATTTAGATTCATCAAATCCCACAAACACCTTGTTTTCCCGGGCATGTTTATGAATAAACAACAAGTTTACATTAAAGTTTGGGACAAGCAACACATAAAATAGAGTCACATTATTGGATAACTTGAAATCCCCAATTTTATTTATTTTAGCTTTAGTTCCATTAAGATGACTAACTCTAAGATTTAGTTCAGATATATCAACAATGTTATTGAGAAAACTAGTATTGTGATTCATGTGTTGATTTGCACCAAAGTCAATAATCTAACCAGATCTAAGAGATTTACGATTACCTGTCATATTAGTAGTGGCACCTTCAGAAGATTGATTTTGCTCAATTAAACCAAGAATCTTAGCAATCTAATCTTCAAAAAAAGAAAAAGAAGAATTGGAGGTAGCAATTTTAGTAGGATTTGACTCAGAAAGACAAACATTGTTAGCCAAATTTTTTAAAGATTGGTTTTGAGTTCTGAATTGATTCTGGTAATTATTAGGGAACCCTATCAGCTTAAAACACCTTTCTATAGTATGTCCAATGGCACCACAATGCTTACAAGTTAGGGAAGTAACTCTACTTAATTGACGTTTATTATCATTGGTCTTGCTTAGAAAAACTGTGTTTGAGGTCTGGGTTTAGACTGAGAAAAGTTCCCCCCTCTGTGAGACTTCTCCCTT